ATTCTTCACGCGCTGCAGAAAGTTCATGCTGTCTGCAAGGTCTGTGAATCCCCTGGGGACATAAGAAGGTGGATTGGGACATTGAGTGGCGTCAATATCTAAAGCACAGGGTATTAGTCGCAAAAAAAACACGGAAGGGACTGAGAGATGCTCAGCCAGGATGGGCCCGCAGGGTAGGGCAGGGTCGGAAAGTATGGCATCAAACTTGCTTTCCCAAGATATCTGAGAAGCTCCTTGTTGGACAGTAAGCGTGCACAGTCGGATAATACCTCATCAGAGACGTTTTTTACACCTTTGTATGCTTTAAGAAATCTTTCCAAAAAAGATCCTTCTTCAAATAAATCTTGTAAAAATGCCTGAAAAACTCCGTCTGACTCTTCCTGTTTGTAAGGAACTGGGTAAGTTTTCATAACAAAATTCTCCGTTGGCTTAATGTTTAAATTTATATCTGGTGCAACGACGACTATTTCATGCCCCTTCTGCCTGAGTCTGTCCAACACTTCCCGCATGGTGAACCAAGGACTCCCATCCACATATGTTACCAGCACCTTTCCACCAGCAGCCAAACTGAGCACAGACAGGAGCAGAACCAGCGTCGCCATGACCTGTGGATGAGCACTAAGCACCGGGGCCATTTCTGCAGCAACCTGGTGAGTGCTGCCCAGAAAGCAAACCCCTGGAAGCACTGCAGCAATAGCACCAGCTCCGCACTTTTAAACACTCATCTCTGCTACAGCCTAACTTGTGATCCTTGAAGGTATTTGCTCTGTGGTAAATGAATAATCATTCCTTTGATAAAAGGCTGCATAATAAGCATTCATTCCAGCCAAGTCCACAGGCCGGTGGCAAGTGACACACCTGGTAACGCCCAACTTCTTCTATCAGAGGAACACAAAGGAGTGCCCCAAGAAGGAGGCAAGGGTGCTTCTGGGTGGGTCTCATAGCTTCCCTTTGGCTGAACCTTTTGCAAGTGCAGGAGGTGTGTCACATCCACATCAGTGCTCAGCCCAGCAGGGGCTACTCCCTCCCCTGCTCAAGAGCTGTCCCATCTCTCCCTCTCTCCTTGAAGACTCATCTCTAGGATGCCTGTGGCCCCATAGCAGATGTGGAAGAGATGTTTAAGATGGTTTCTAGACTGCAAAGACTGATGATGGTAGAAGTGTAACCAGGGTGATAGAATCAGTTGACTATAACCTTGAACAGTGCTGCTATGTCCCTGGTACAGCCCGACCCACCTAGACATTAGGTCTTGGAATAGAGGGTCTAGTCTCTAGGTAACCATTAACGCTAACCATAGTGGGTAACTGTGTTTTTGTCAAGAGAAATGATGGAGTGTGGTTCTGTGAAAC